ACTCTTTTAGAATATTTTGCTGAGTTTACACACCTATAGTATTTAAATGATGAAACTAAACAAAAAAGGGGATACAGATGAATGGCCGTTTTGTAATCTGTGTATTCAAGGTGGTTAGGATAGATATATAGGTGCATTTTCTTGATGAATAGAGGAACTTGTTCTAATGGTGTTTGTAAATAGGATGTCATGTCTGCATCTTGTCCATCAAGTGACCACTAGGAAGACAGTATGCAGTGTGTTGATTGTTGGAACTGTCCTACCAATTTGATTTGAGACTGTCTCATTGCTATTTATTTGTCAATAAAATTATGGGAAAAAAAATTAAAAAATAAACCGCAAAAAAAAATATATTTACCACAAAGAAAACCCCAGTTCCTAACAGATTCACTGTTGAATTGCTTAAGAAATTTAGAGAACAACTAATGCTGAAACTCTTTAAAGATATTGAAAGGGAAGCTGTATTTCCAAAATCATTCTTGTATTGCAAGTATTACCCTGATTCCAAAACCAGAGGAGAATGCAACCAAAAAGGAAAACTATAGACCAATCTCCCTGATGAACACAGTTACAAAAATCCATAATAAGATACTGGTAAACAATGCAGCAGGTCATCAAGAAGATTATATACCATGACCAAGTATGAGTCACCCTAGGGATATAGGAATGGTCCAATATATGCAATAAATTTAATATACCATATTACATGAGCTAAGGACAGAAACCCGTGATCATCTCAGTTAGATGCAGAGAAAGTAGTTGACAAAGTCCAACACTCAACCATGACAAGAACCCTATGGAAAATTGAAATACTCTTTACCTCAATCTTGTAAAACCCATCTGTGACAAATCAACAGGTAACATCATATTTAAGGGTCAAAAGTAACTCTTTCACTAAACTCTGGAAGAAGACAAGGATGTTCATGGTCACCACTCCTATTCAGTATAGTTATGGAAACATTAGCCAGAGCAATTAGGCAAGAGAAAAAAATGAAAGAAATATGATAGGAAAGGAAGAAGTTAAATTATCATTTGCAGATGATATGATACTCTACATAAAAGACCCCAAAAACTCTACCATAGAGCTCATAGAGTTAATATCCAAATGCAGTAGTGTAGCAGGATATAAAGTCAGCATTCAAAATCAATAGCATTCCTGTATATACACAACAAACGCACAGAGAGAAATTAGAAAAACCACATTCCTCACAGTACCACCTAGAAAAATGAAATACTTGGGAATCCATCTAACGAAGTATATAAAAGTACCCTTAAAAAGGAGATTGAAACACATGTCAGAAAATGAAAAAAATTAAAAAGGGGCCGGGGAGATGGCTCAGTGGAATTTGTGCTTCCCGGGCAAGCACAAGGGCCTGAGTTCAATCCCTGGTTCCATAAAAAAAAAATAAAAATAAAAAAAAAAAAGAGAGAAAAAATGTCTCTTGCTCTTGGATAGGAAGAACAAATATAGTGAAAATGGCTACACTCCCAAAGCTGCTATACAGATTGCCATTGATTCCCATTTGATTCCCAATCAAGATGCCATTAGCATATCTGATAAATCTAGAGAAAACATTCCTAAAATTCATTTGGAACCAGAAGAGATGTAGAATAGCAAAAGCAATTCTGGGCAGCAAAGACAACTCAGGAGGCATCATAGTCCCAGACCTGAAATTATACTACAAAGCTACTGTGATACAGAGAGCACATTGGCCAAGCAATGGCC